TAAATTGGGTCCACCACTCTTTTAATGGGGATTGAACCCTAGTTTGGTCTGCCCTGCCCAGTGTGAAGTCCAGAAACTCGGGAAGTGAGGTGGGTGCCATTCCCGTCCAAATACCCGTGTTCTATCTTTCAACCCCGGCCTGGCCAACAGATCGTTCAGCGGAATTGTCAACTGTGGAGGTCCAACTTTTGATTTTGCGGCGATGAAACTGATCACAGGAGCAGCGAAACGGAACCCGTTCATCTGTTGGTTATGCCAAGATATTCATTAAGGCTCACATAGTCCTTGCAATGAAACGAAACCGGGCAGCGTTGGCGTCCATTTTGGGGAAATCCACCATCCCTGCACTTGAGCCTATTTTCTAGTCCAAAAGTGGTAGCTCCAAAGCCCTTGGGGCGCCCTCGAACAGCTTCCCTCGCATTGATTCGTGGCTTGGAGATCTTCCGAAGTTCATTTCTCATCCCTCCAAAAGGACCTGAGTCACAATCAAAACCCGGTATGAAAATGATCGACCCAGAACCATGTCAGGCAATACAAAGGCGGCCGCACCTATGTCTGGCTGGGATTTTGTCCCTTACTAAGCTTCATCTATCCGCGTTTTGAGCAAGTGGCTCACCTGGTTCAAGCCCAAATCCAAACCACCAGGCCCCCAAGAGGCACCACCGGTCGCCTGACTCGACGCTTGCTTTCCCACGCGACGGTCCGCGCGCTCCGCCTGCTTGGCCTGGACGCCCTGCTGCAGCAAGCCCAGCGCCCGCTGCCACTGCATCGCCTGCCGCACTTCGGAGGCTTCGCTCAGAGACAAATTCGCCTCTGCCAACCCAAGATGCTGCGGTTTTCCGGGTGAGCCACAATGACAAGAAGAGTCTTTGGGGAACCCCCGAGAAAAAAGGACACAGAGCCATATGAGCCGCAATCAAAGCCCGGGACAAAAATGGTGAACCCGGAACCATGTAAAGAATTAAGAAGGCGGATATCTGCAGCTATTTATGGCTGGGACTGGCCCTTACTAACCTTACCCGGGATTTGATTGTAGCTCAGGTAGTGTTCGACCCAAAAAGTGTTGGACCCTAAAAGTCTTGGACCCCGGAATGACTTCCCCCCCCCCATGTGGGTCGGTCTTTTTTAAGGTTGGACCCCCAAAAAGATGGCTTCGGTTTTCATTCTGGGTTTCCCTTTCAAACCACGCAACAGGGGTTACCCTCAAACAAAGACATCCCCATGTGGCTTCCCCTTGAAAACCAAGGTGGTTTAGGGGTACCATGGAAAAACATGGGCGGAGTCGAAACTATGTGTATGAGTCATATCTAATCTCAGAAGGGTGTCTTTTGTTGAGGGACCTTCCGTTCCGGTTTTACCATGTGTCCGCAACGGTTTTACCAGGTGTCCGCAAGAGGACACTCACTCGTTTTGTCCGGCACCCAGAACCTTGGTTTATATAGATCCCACAGTCCCCAAGCCACATCAGGTGGACCATGGCACATGGCCATGGGTCAAAACCCGTACCCCCAGTGAACATCCAATTCAATCCGACCACTAAAATAGCTTCTAAAATGGGTGGCGAATTCACCTCCCCGTATCATTGGCTTTGATCCACAGCCAGCATGCGTGCGGAAGGCCAAGGAGCCAAGCAGCCGCCCCCGTGCCGCGCCCGCCCCAAACCCCAAACCCCGGCGCCTGCTCACAGGCCGAGATGGCGCTGTTGAAGGAGGTGGGCTCCGGGCGCCTGATGCGCCCAAAGAACCACAGGGCCTGCGGCGAGATACATCGGTCGAATGGATCGGCGGGGCTCTTGGATGTGCAAAGCCAGTGGTTAGCTATTTGGTTTGGTGTTTCTCCCGGTTTTGACAAGGTCTACCCCAGTGAACGGGGGGCTTATAACATGGGATATAACCTAGGTGGCCGACAACAAACGAACTTGGCGAATCGAACACCCAAGAGAGGGATAACAAAGGGAAAAGCCTTCACCGAGATTCGACCCGTAACCTGGGCATGTCATGTCGAGCACAACTACTCAGCGCTTTGGGCACGACATATTTCCACCAATGAACTTTGGATCGCAGCTAGCCCGGGCTTCAAGTGAACTTTAGAGTCTGATCAGCGGTGGGAAGTTACATGTGGGTCAAAAAGAAAAAGCAACCCCGAAACGGGCTGCCCTGGCACTACCTGCGGTCCACATCCTGATGGTTTAACTTTGACCCATGCCCAGATGTGTTCTTGGTTCAATAGTTTAGTAAGATGGCACCAATCCCGTCCCCGTCAAATGGAATTGGGGACGGGGATCTCCGATCCCCTGGAGATGTCCATCTCTAAGCTGTGTGCCATCGGGAAGGAAAGCGGATGGGTCAGCCCCGGTAAGCCATTCACAACGTAAGTGAGTAACTCCCTGACGTAGAGCAACCTCCGCTTAGGCTTGTTGACCACTGACCAACCTGCTTCATCCAAGCACCCCCCAAAAAGAACCCAAACCGCATGCTGGGAGTCCGGCGGATGCCCTAAATAGTAAGCTAAGCATACTCAACCACAAAACCATGGTAAATCACAGCAAATGGCCATGCGTCAAAATCCCGTACCCAAAGTGAACATGCCAATCCAACCACTGAAATAGGAAGCCTAAAATGGGTGGCGAATTCACCTACCAACCAAAACGGGATCCCAAAACGGTTTTGACCACCACAGCCTTAAATCAGAGGGTGTCCCAATTTCTCCCTTGCTTGCAATACGGCAGGGGCACCACCATAAAGAACATCTCCACTTTCCTGCCTGGGCTTCATGGAGTAAGCCCATCTAAACCTTCGTAGGTGAAACCTTTGGAGTCAATGGGTTTGGGGGAGCCAAATCTTTTTGCCCCAAATCGAATCGAAAAGCTTAGGTCGAAACAAACAAAAATGGTTTCGCCCCTTGGTTTCGCCGGCTGCTCCTCCCACCCCCCGCGTTTTCCACGGCACGAAATCGCCGTGGCAGGTCTCCTGGCGCCACGCGGCGCCGCGGCCGCAGCAGGTGACGGCGGCGTGGAACGTCACCAGGTCCGGCGTGAGGTGGGCGGCTTCCAGCTCCTCGGAGCTGACTCAAGGGGCAGGCAGGAACCTGGTAGCAAGGATCCTTAACCATTATAATGATTCCACTAAAGGGAACCACGACCATAGATGCCATATAAGGGGTTTGGCCATGGCACTTAGCAAGCCTGGTTATAACCCACAAAAGCCATGGCTATAAGTCTAAGTGGGATATAACCAGGCTTACTAACCACTTACTAAGTGCTCTCTCCCTTTAAGTAGGGACGCCCTGGGGAGACGTTTCTACCGTGGCCAGGGGATGAAATATCAGCCACGGATAAAAGCCAGGCGTATGAGATCAGCCTGGACAAAAAGAGGAGGCAAAAAAGAGAAGAAACATGGACAGCCCGAGTCTTCAAAATAGAGCAACTAAAAAAAGGACCGCGTAGCTGGAGCACGAGGGGTTCGAAATTCCGACTAGGTCTGAGCTTTGGGATCAATCTATCCCCAGAACCTTCGGCGAATCAAAAGTTTGCTCAGCACTGAACCCTTTTTGGGGGCCACCGTTTTGGGAAGCCGGGAGTTCAAGGCTGCTGAAAAGCTTTGCCTTGGTTCCTTGACCTTTGCTCCGCAAACCGAAACCATTCAAAAAGGGGGAGGTAGCTACCCTCTTGCCAAAAACGTAGAAGTGAACAATTGGCGAGTTTCGGAAGACAAACTATCCTCTTGAAACGGCACGGAAATGTCGATTTGCATGTGTTTTTTTGAAAGCGGGCTTGAAAAAGGGAAAACAAGAGAGCACCCCGATTCGGCAACAATCTTGGCATTTAGGAAGGCTCAAGTGGACATACGGTGGATGGACAAAACCCACTTCGCGGTGGAATGCGGAGGTCCGCTCGATTCGCTGCGGATTTTGTCCATCTAACTCCCCTCCGACCGAATCGCCCGCATCGCCCGCATCGCCGGTCCTCCACGAGGGCAACACCCAGACGCCAGGCGCCATGTCCCACGGCGCTGAGCGCGGAGTTGTAGGAGATCAAATCGGGCTTCCCCATGGCCCTGACGCGGGAAGAGTTTTCTGGGCTGCCCTCAGATCCCCCGCGACAAGTGAATAACTTCTAGTGAATTAAATGGAAACTAACACTCAAGAGCTCAAAGGCTAAGGGGATGGCTAGGTCCTCCAGTAGAGAGGTTAGAGGTTTGCGTACCAACTTCTTTCAGGACGTCTATTTTAGTAGGGGAACCGAATCTCCCAACCAAAAACGGGGTGAGAAGTTGCCACTGGGAGACCTAGGCTTTCTTCCACGTTCTTTTTCCGCGAGCGAACCTCGGCTTCCCTCGTGGGCGGAGTTTGGAGCCCGGTGGCTTGGAAGTGAGGTGGCAAGCCCCATTTCTGGTTTGATGTTGGGTTTGGGGAGCAAAAATATATTTTTTGGCAGCTAAGTGGTTGGATTTCAACCACTAAACCACAATAAGCAAACATGTAAAATGTCTCCCAACGACAACCATGATTTTCCCTCAGTTCAAAGCCCTCAGCCAAACCGCCAACTAAGAATTACCCTCCCCCAAAACTCGGCTTGACGTTAAAACTCGGTTGCTACGGTGCGATGAAAGATGCGGAACCCCATGGTAAGATTGCGTTTTCCCATGGTAGCGAGTGGTGCCGTGGCCCCGGTCAAGCAAAAGAAGCATTGATTTATTTGTGTTTGTTGATTTTGTGTGTGTGTGGTTTATATATATATATACTATTTGAAATTCATGTGTTAAATGATACTTATTTGTTGTGTTTCATCACCTGTTTACTATTATTCATTCTAGTTATTCATTTATACAATTTGTGGTTGTTTGTTTGTTTCTTGTCTTTTATTTTTTTTTGGGGGGGGGGGTTGGGGGTCGGGGGCGGTGGGGTGCGGGGGTGGGAGGGTGGGGAAACTTACCTACTCCAAAACTGAGTTGCAACAAAGGGCGTGAAGGGAGAGCTGTGAGAAGATTTGCGCCTTCCTGCCCCTGCCCCGCTCGGGTTGACACCACGAGCACCAACGAGCGGCCAGCGAGCGGCCAAAGGATTCTTAATGCCCAAGCGTTGCCAAATTCATCACAAGCCGCCGTATGGGAAACCAGGTGCTCACGTGAGCTCTCACAGAGCCTTGGCGGCATTTCTTTGGCAACATTTCATTGGGGAACTCAAAAAAGAGGTTGTTGAAGCGGTGTTCAAACAAGGCACTCCTGTAACATTGACTTTCTTGGGGCCCGTGTTGGGGCAATGCTCTTCAAGCAATCTGACCGTTGTCCCGCTTTCTGTCCAAGCGGAGGTTCTTCCAACAGGCGCTTCACTCATGGTTCAAGCGAAGCGCTGGCTCGGAGGACGACAACCAAAGATCATATGTTTGATTCTGGCTTTAGTAGCTCCGGTTTCCACACAGTGACGTGTGTCTCAGAAAAAGGGCTTCTCCCTGAATGGATTGCCCCAGAAAAATGAAAGACTCCCCTGCACTTGTTCATGGCAGCCCACTGATTGGGGCCCAAACTGGGGAAAAATATGAGACACTAGCTCCTCCAGAGGAGAGGTTAGAATAAGGGTACCCCTTTTTTCAGGACGTCTATTTTAGTACGCGCTGGGTACATAGACACCCGCGCGTTTTTATGCATGTCCTCGGAGCTCGTGCGTCCATTCCCAGGCAGTTTGACAAGTACGCATGTTTCTGGGGTGTGGGACATCACGGTAACTAACTTAGGCCAGCTGAATCTCAGGTCAACATGTGTAGTTCTGGACCAAGTCAGCACACATGGCAGTAAGCGGGTGTGCTTATCATGTGCCAGCATGCGTGCAGCTCTGACGTGATGCGCGTGAGCGGGGCGCTTATCATGCGCCAGCATGTCGTGCAGCTCTGACGTGACAAGCGTGAGCGCGTGTGCTTCTCATGCGCCAAAGTGCGTGCTGCCCTCACGTGACGCGCGCGAGCGGGTGTTGTCATATGCCGGCGCGCGGGCAGCTCTGAGCGGGTGTGCCAACGTGCGTGCGGCTCTAGCGTGATGCGCATGAGCGGGTGTGCCTATCATGTGCCTGCGCGGGTGCAGCTCTGACGTGATGCGTGTGAGCGAAAAACACTCGGACATGCGGGTGGGTAAATACCCGGTACCTTTTAGTAGGGGAACCCTCCCAGCCAAAAAACGGGAGAGAAGTTGGCACTGGCCTCAACAGGTCCAGCGCCAGCGACCACTGCCGCCCCTTGCCGCAGGCGCTGATGGCCCCGTTCCACGTCACCGCGTCCGGCAGCAGACTTTCGGAGCTCAGTGCCGACAGCAGCGCCAGCGCCTGAAGCTCCGAATCGCGACCTCCCCCGGAAAAAAGAAAAGAAGAAAAACAAACTAAACTTTTAATAGGGTTTTGGGTTTTGGGTTTAGGGTTTAGGGTTGAGGGTTTAGGGTTTAGGGTTTACAATTAAAACTAATCTTAGCTTTCTTGAACGTTCCTTTAAAAGAAAAATGGGGGGCAAGCCTACTTCATATATAAATAGCTGATTATAACTCTAATCTATGAATAGCAATCTAACAAAAAAAAAACTCAACCAAAAAACGATTCCTCCCGGAAAAAAAAATGAAAAAATGGATGCCTTATCTGAGTGTTTTTTGTATTACACCCTGGGACTACACAGGGAAGTGGCCCAGAATGCTTCAAAACATCTCCGGGTTTTCTCCGGACATGTCACATGGGGTCAATACCCAGGTGTATTCCCAGCATTGTAATACCCAAAGACCTTAGCCCTTAGCTCCCCCGACACGGCTTCTTTAAAAGAAAAATGGCCGGACACGGCTCCCTTAGCAGTTCTTCAGTGAGAGAAACAAACTTTCTTAAGCCGGGCTGTGTGACGAAAAAAAAGCCGTTCAGAGAGACCTCTTGGACACAATTTCCATTTAGCTTTGTGTTTGTGTGTGTGTGTGTGTCGTTTACTCTTGGGTATGGTCTTTGTGTGTGTGTGTGCTCTCCTCAGAGGGCATGGATATAGACTTTACTTGGGTATGTCCTTTTCTGTTGGGGTATTGGTGTGGATGTGTGCTTACGCTTGGTAGTAGGGTACAGGTGAGTGTGGTTCCTCATGTAGGTCTATGCGTGTTTTGGGGTCGTTTCAATGTTTATTCTACTTTTGTTTTTATTTTATTTTTTATAAACAAAAAAAAAAAACTTCACCTGCTCCAGGCATTGCTTCTCCCTGCTTCTGTTTCTTCCTGGTGCTGCTCTCGAAGGTGGCGTCCCATCCTTCCGGAGCCAAGCCGCCTGCTGCCAGAGCCCGTGCTTCTCCAGGGCGCTGAGGGCCACGTTGTAGATGAAGACATCCCTCGCCTGCGAGCGCCACTCCGCGCGAGAATCCACGTGGAAACCAAAACGGCCGTGCTTGGAGAAGGGAAACGTTGGCCCCATTTTAGACATGCAGGACAGCTGGGCGCAGGACAGCGAGCCGTTCTATCGGCGTGGCCTGCACTTCTGTGGCGACAAGGATCGACAGCGCCGAGTCTATTGCCACGTGATCGAGGAGGCGGCGAAGTTGGCTGTGTCCCGGGCACGACGCGCGCAGATGCCCTTGCCATTGGGGTTCCTTTGGCTTGCATGGAACCTTTGGCTGAAAGAAGTCCGACAGTCCTCAGAGTGGGTTAAATGGAAACCACTGCTATACCCGGGAAAAAAAGAAGAAAAAAAATAAAGAACAAAAAATAAGAAAAAAAGAAGAAAAAAGAAGAAGAAAAAAAAAAGAAAAAAAGAAAAAACCATTAAACGGATGGCTGGCAGCCAAGTTCCCGGGCGCGGGAGGCCACAGAACCGGAGACCAGGAACCAGAAACCCGGGTGTCTCTTGATTTGGGCGCCCTTTTTTGGGGTCGGTTTTTAAAGGAAAACCAAACGAAAACCGAAGCCATGTTAGAAGCGTCCCCCGAAACACACGCTCAGATCACCCGTATCAAACGAAAAGAAACCCCCAAACAGAGGTCCTACTTCATGAGCGAAACAAGAAACGTTATGGCCACCATGGTTTCACGGTGCGAACGGTTTTTGTCCATCCAGAGTAGGGTTGCTTGGATGGCGGCTTGGATTGGTGGATTTGGATTTGAGCGGGTCCCTGGCTTCAGAGTACATGGGGTTTGTCACCGACACCTCAATGAAACTGATTTGTACTGGGAACCCCGGATTAATAGACCCATACCAGCTAAAAGTTTAACTGGTGTGGGCAAAATGAGCTAAACCCTAAAAACCTAAAAGCCTTAAGATGGCTGGGAACCAGGGGATCCCACAACCCACTTGAAGGACGATTGCAGTTGCTAAGCACTTACGAACTGCGCTGGTCATACAAGTTGATGCTTCCCTGGTTTTTTTGACATTGAGCCGAACTCCCAGTTCGATAGACAAAATCCATTTCGCACCACCAAAGAAACCCTGGTTTCTGATGATTCCCCTGCAAGTGTCAACCAACAATGGTTTCAACCATGGATTCAAAGTGGTGCGAACGGATTTCGACCATCCACAGTACTAGGCCCCCCACCTAGTGCGGTGCACAAAGTCTCAACCTGCGGCAAACCATCCACGATATTTCTACACCGATCCAAGCCACCAACTAAGGCTTCCCATTACTAAGGAGCTTCGGCCACGCGTCTGAGCCCAAAGAGCAAACCCCCCCCCATTCCACCCGCCGCCGCCCCGCCTGCGCGCTGGAGAGGAGTTGCAGGGCCCAGCTCCAGCCCTTCCTCACCGAGAGAGGGCTCCCGTCCGACAAAATTATTCCATTCGCCGAAGGGTGCTATGCTTTCTCCAACCAGCTGGCTTCGAAAAGAACGGCATCATGCTTTTTCCTTCAGATCCCATTTCTAGAAAAGAGGTTGCAAAGAACATTCAGTTCGCTTACAAAAAAAATGTGGTACCTGCCCACTCACTCGAAGCTGACCTACAAACCCGAAAACTACAACGTCCTGAAACTCTGGAAGTCAGCTGCATCCTAAAACCTGAAAGAATTCTAGTCCTCTAACCCAGATACACCGGCCTTTTTGGGGATGGTTGAGGTCAGCCAGCGGAGAAAAAAGCAAGGGTTCATCTTTGACCTGCAGAAAGCCTACAAAAACTCCAAATCCCCGGCATTGTGAGTTAACTTCCAAAAAAAATAAGACACCTGCACAAAACTGACAAGAACTCCAAAATCCACGGCATTGTCAGTTTATTTCAAAAAATAAGACAAGTTGCCCGTGGAAATTCCTCCTTTATCTGTCAGGGCGTGGACAAGCGTACCTGGGTATTGGGTGTCAGGAGGCTTTTTACAAGGGAAGAAGCCCGACAGAAACAAAAGAGAAGCCCGACACGTCACCCGCAATCCGATTAAAAAAAAAAAACAAAAAGAACTACCGGGGGATGGACAAAACAGAAACACGCCGATGGGCACCCAGTTGCGGATTCTTCACCTGCACGAAAGCCCCTGTAAAGGGGAACGCGAAAACAAAGCACGGAATGCTCGTTTGCTTGGTTACAGGGGAATCATCATTTTAGGATTTCTTAGGCGGTCGCCGGATTTCGTCCATCCACGGAAAACATAACGATCTGCCAATGAACACCGTCCAGGTATGCATTCTTCCGATTGGTAAACACCCTGACCTGCTAGATTGAGTGGCTAGAAAAAGAATGAAACGTTGGTCCTGGAAAAACCGGATGAAGAAGGCTGGCAACAAAAAGACATATATATATATATATATATATATGTATGTATGCACTGTATCTATATATATATATACATAAGCATTGCAAGAACAGTAAAGAAGCCTGGCAACGAATAGTTTTAAGTTATTAACAGTTAACACCCCACTTGAACGGCCCCAGTTAGTTCCCGCAAGTGGATACATCCAACCTAGGTAGCTGACTAAATCGTGATTTACCACCTACTAAGAGGATTTGGGGACCACCCAGGCAGTCTCAAACCAAAGAGCAAAGCGACCCCACCGCCCCACAATCGCCCCATGCATTGTAGGATTACGAAGCATTTAGCGCATCCAACTAACACCCCCTCGGCCCAAAACAGGGGTGATGTTGGGTGTAAAGAAGGATAGGTTGGATACTTTCTGTCAGGATCTCAAGAGTCTATTGCTCTGTGCATACTTAGCCTTAGCGGACTTGCTAGACTTGAATGAGAAAACGGGCCCCATGAACCACGTCTTGTGGCTCAGTGCATTCCAACCCGAGAACCAGCAAATAGGGTCGCTAAAAACTTCCCCCAAGTCGGGCTGCCAAGCACTGACCACTTACGTCGGGAAAACCCAGGCAGAATGGTTGACCAAGGGTTTACTAGAGTTCAATGGGTGAAACTAGCCATTCCAACTCTCAGACTCTGTGTGTCCAAATAGCGGACCAGAAATTAGGTATTCGTTTTGGTTCCTCCCTGAAACGGAGACCCTCGACAAGACACACACACACACACATTAAAACATGGAATATAAAATATGGATGCAGCTTTTTTGAGGGAAACCCCCCCTTTTTGTGGGATTTAAAGGACGATCAAGAGGAAAGCCACAGTCCGGCGTCGGGAAAAAAGGCCAACGCACAGCCAGAACAGGGTTCTCAGCAACACCCCAAAGGCGAACTCAGGGCCAAATTCTGTGGATCGACATGAGGGAAGCCACTGGTTGTTGGTATTTACGGTGGGGAATCGAATCAGAAACCGTTGGGTTTCTGAATCTGCGAAAAGGATTTCGCAACCATCCACAATAGATGTCCTTTTGATCGGTGAGTTTAGATAGATTTAGGTGAGTTCCCCAACGGAGGTTTCTTCGGTGAACATTCCAGGGTTTCTCAGGTGGTGCAGGATTTCGTCCATCCACAGTTGGTGTCCTTCTTAGCTTCGTTTGGTGAAACGGGTTCCACTGGTTTAGATAGGGCTTCTTCCAGCAAAACCAGATCTATTTTTCAACAGTCGATTCTCTATAGTCTACCTTAGTAGGTTTTTTTTTCCAACCCAAAAGTGGAGAAAAGCTGGCACCTAGCTGGGTAGGCTTTACGGCTGCAAAGTTGGGGTCTTACATTTACGGCTCCCGAGAATTCCCCTTGAAACATCCTGAATATCGGAAAATTATCAGTGGAAGGCTCCTGGAATATCGGGAATTCCATTGCATATCACCAACCCAGAGGCTCCTGGATTCGACTTTCAAACTTTCAATGGAAGACCCGACCCCGAAGCAGTAGACACGGAGGTGCTGCAAAATGGGACTTTCGCCGCTCCACCGGTACCGACCGTCGCCAAAGCGCCACGGGCTCACGGACTTCATCGCCGCCGTGTAGCTCACAGGCGTCGGCACCAGCCGCCGGTCTGACGGCGGGGGGCTTTTGACGACCGTCGGGGGATTTTTGGGGCACCCCCCCCCAAAAAAAAAAAACTCAAAACCCAAAAAAAAATGAGATCTCAAACATATGTTTGTTTATCCCTTGGATAAGTTTTGAGTTAATTTTTGCTCCCCCCACCTAAATAGGGCAACGGTCTTCCTGAAAGGTATTCCTTTAAAGCCACCAAAAAAAGGGGCACCTTGAGTAAACTCAGCCTCCAAAAGAGGGGTTTGGGTTTCCCATGTTAGTCCCTCCACTGGACGACCAGCCCATTTGGTAAGTGGTTAGTAACCCAGGTTATGTATTCGCCCCAAAGTAGGAGTTCTCCTAAACTTGGTATGTGATATCAAAACGTCCCTAACCAACCCGCCAAAAGGATCACTAGCTTCAACAATCACCCCCTTTTTGCCCAGCGAGTGGTTGAAACTCGGCACTTTCCAAAAGGTCGAAAGGTGAAAGAAAGAGCGCACCAAACGTTTGGTAGCGAGTCTACATCCTTGAAACACACGCTAGAAAGAAACGCGTGCATGTCCATTTCTCGAAAATGGCTGTGGGTCAAAACCCTGTACCCCTGGTGAACATCAAAATAGGTGGTACATGGGTGTTCATCCGCCCCAAAATGGAGGCATAGGTTATGACCCATGGCCAATGGACCACGACAGGAAATCTCGACCACGACAGGAAATCTTGGTCCTCTTCTGGTCGAGTCTGTTCTATATTTAGTCCAATTAACCTCTATGGGTGGCTCAACTTGCCCTTTGTTGTTGCTTTTAACAGGAAGCCAAAAGGACAACCGCCATTTTAGGGGTCCCCCAAAGAAGCACAGACGATATGACCTACTTTGGGATCGGAGAGAATCCATCCGGATCCCTTCCCAGTGGCCTCGCGCGCTCCGCAGCCAGCTCACCGCCCTCTGCCACTGCGCTCGGCCGGCGCTCAGACACGCGTTCACCGACACCACGTCCGCCATGGCTCGCCGGTCCTCAGGGCAACCGAGCCAGCCAGGTGAAGGCGACGCCCGTCCTCTTGAGGTGAGGGAAGGTTCCTCAGGCCAGTAGGCCTTGCCAGCCCTCAGGGCAGAAAGAAACTGAGCCAGTAAGGCCACAGGGGGTTCTAGCCCACTAATAACGTTTTTTTTTTGTGTAGCCGCCTGCTGAAATGAACAGAGACAAAAAAAGACAACAATCAACCTAAAACACTGGCCAACAACATTCATGGGATCTCTGAAGGCCCGCCTTTTCGGAGGTGAGGGAAGGTTCCTCCTTGGCTGCCCTCAAAAAGGCCTTGTCGAGCTGTGTCTTCGGGCCTTTGGAGTGAGGCCGGAAAGAAGAGTGGGATTCCCGTCACCATGACCACGCTTTTGCTTCAAGAGGATTCACTTGAGCAGCCAAACGAATTCTTGGCTTTGAGGCTACGCTTATAACGGTGTATGCACACTTTGTTCCAACTCCATGAAGCCAGGAAGGGATCTCTGGTCACATCAGCTCTTCCCAACCTAACGTCGTAGCAAGCCCTGCGATTTCCCGCGACACCAAAAGCCCAAAATGCGCGAAATAGGTTTGACTTTGTTGGGGGCTTCTGAATGGCTTTGAGAGGAAATGGAAGCCAAGAGGAAAACCGAGCCTTTTTGGGGGTCCCATTCCAACAGAAAGATACCCAAATGCGTCGAACACGTCGAATACCGCGAAGCGAATCCTCCAGGAGTGCCTCGGCCCTTTGCCACGTGCTCGCGCTGAGGCAGCCTGAGATCGATCTGGCGGCGCTTCAAATCGGTCGAGTGGATCAAAGGTCAAGCTGGTTCCCCCACAAAAAGGGGCTACTCCAAAAACTGAATTGTTGTTTAAGTCTGTTTCATAGACTGGTCCTCTACCCAAGAAAAAGTTTGGAGGAGACCCCAGGTATGATATCAACCCTACCTGGTCGAACTGGCAACAAGTATGTCAAATGTTGCTCGCAGAAAATCGTACCTTTTGTCCCCCCCGAAAGGTACTTGCATGTGCGTCCAAGTTTGTAAGGGACTTCGCAGTGGGCTATACCCGAACGGTTTCCAACAACTTACTAACTGGACGAGTCGAACACCCAAGTAGGGCTGTTCTGGTTGCTAAACTCGCTGGTCAGTAAGGAATCTCTGGGTTGGGAAACCGCTTCATCCCACTCGGAACCCCTGCCAATCGAACCAAGAACAAAGAAGAAAAAACAAGAAAAGAAAGGGAAAAAAAAAAGAAAGAAGGAGAAAAGAGAAGAAAAGAAAGGGGGAAAAAAAAGAAAGAACAAAAAAAAGAAAGAACAAAAAAAAGGAAGGGGAAAAAAGAACGGCGGACCCGCCCGAGCAACGGTTCAGGTCCAGCAGGCCCACCCGCAGCCGTTTGGAAGGCAAGGCCTCCAGCAGGTCCAAGGCTTGCGGCCACGCGGAACTCGGCGCCATGGCGCCCGAGCCACGCCGACGACTCCGAAGCTCCCGCTCCAACGAGTTCCCACCCCTCGTGGGTGGATGATTTGTGAAGCAAACTACAAAAGGGTGGGAGAAAAGTTGTGAACTCATCACCCTCTTCCATTCTTTTTTGAGCGAACCGGGCTCTTCATTCTTTTTGCACCTGACGGCGGGAGATCTTTTGGAGCAGGAGCCGCCCGAGACTCGGGCGGCTCAGCCGATCTCAGCCTTCAGCTTCGGCGGCATCGGCCCGAGCGGTTTTGGCTCAAGGGCGACCGGTCCTAACCGCCTGAGCCATGCGAGAGACGAGTCGCTCCAGGCCACCGCAGCCGCTTGCGGCTTGAAGGTACTGTCGACCCCATGTTGGTGGGGGAGGGGGCAATCTGTGCCTCTGTCACGGGGCCCCTACTACTGACAAAGCTTTTGGGGGGGATCCCCCCCAAAAATCGACTTCCTCTCATGTGGCTTGCTGTTGGGGGTGGTTCTGTGTGTATCGTCCAGGGGAATTTCTTTCTTGAACCTTTGCAATTCTCCTATAGCTCGGCCTCCCCCCGAATCCTGAGATCATGCCGGTTTCTGGCACACAACACCTGTAGGGTGACGGCAGTTTCAAAAGGATTTTCCCGACGACGACGCCAAGAGTCGGAGGCCAGTCGGACATATTTTGGAGGTTCTTGTGAAGTCGGCATGTGCGACTTCGCGTGATCCTGTTGCCACCTTGGGAGACGCTTGGTATGTCGTTAGGAACATGCTTTCTGTTGGCAACCGTACTTTCCAAACATCAAAGGCAAGTCAAACCGCAAAGGCAAGTGAACCCACCGGACCATTTGGCGCGTTTTTGAATGCCTGTGCCACGGTTAAAAGTTCGGTATGCTCTATGGGCATGGGTAAATTGGAGTCCCCTTCTTTCAAGTGGATAGACAAAGCCTGCCAAAGCCACATTCTCCTTGGCAGTAACCAAGATGGGCGCATCCATGAGATGGACTGAGGCTGCCAATACCAGGGAGATGGCCCACGTCTTTCAGGCTGAATGTTGACCGAACATCACAGCTTGGCCAGGGGGGGCTACACAGGACAACGGACAATGGAACCAGCCTAGCAGTGGGTTGTCTCGAAGGGATTGCCGAAATGAGGGCCTCTTCCTTTCCCCCAACACCCACCCAATACCTCGCAGTTCTTTCGGCTGGTATATGGTCAAAAAGCCCAGGTTTCCCATGGCAACTACCAGGGATTTGCATCAAACCATACCATACCAAGGAAAGCGGTTCAAGCAACCTCCTTTCGGAAAATCCTGTTGGGACCAAACGGGGTCTGGTGAAACACATGGTTGTGGCTCAAAAAAATGTACCAAAATGGCACCAAAAGGTAAATGGAGCCAAAGACTAATAACCCTGGCTCTTTAATTTTGAGCCACACCCACGTGGCTCAAAATTAAACAGCTAGGGTTACGCAAATGATAGTCTTTGGTTCCATTTACCTTTTGGTGCCATTTTGGTACATTTATTTGAGCCACACCCACATGTTGTGCCCCGGCCATTCGGAACAGCTTCTCACGCCCCGCCCCTTACGCCGCGCCTGTGATGGTGCATTCACGGCCGGCCGGGCACACGCCCAAGTTGTCAGTGGTGGGGCCCGCCACGTCCAGCCTCACGGCTTCGCGGCGTGCGGAGAGAAAGGCCGTGCTGGTGGTGGAAGATTCAGAGGGAAAAGGCATTATACCCTGGAATGCCACAAAATAAGTCAAGGTAAGTAGGAATGAGGAGTGTAATCTCAGGGTGTAATACCTTTTGCCTCTGAAGAACTGGATACGGCGGGTGTCTATGATACGTTCTGGAATCCTCAAAGTCATGGAGTGTGGAGGGAATCGCACCCGGAGGATATTACAAGGGTGAGTTTCCGAGGCTCCAAGGATCCTTCAAATGGGCAGTCCCAGGCAGCCCCGCCAGGAATCTGGCAAGGTCATCCCAAAGGAACGCGCTACACCCCAATACCCGGGCCTTTGTTTGGTATATTTTGAAGAACCTGGTCTTCCATAGTGAATAGTCAGGAGTCTACATCCTTCCCTACCTACCAACAAGTGGGTATTGGGTGGAGGGATATGTAATGATATAGATGACTCACAGTTTAAGGGTCCAAGGCGATCTCAGGCAGCTTACCAACCCACTTTTGTAGGGTATGATGTCGAGCTCTGACTAAGTCACCCAACAAAGGGAAACGAAAGCCCTCAAAGGCGGAAGAAAGCGTTGGAAGGAACCTTCTGGGAAGGGCTCCAGAAAATGAAGGTACAGAGACATATTCTGCGTGCATCAAGTGAATAGCAATTCCCCTACTCCAAGGGGCACAATAACGTAGCATTCCCCTACTGTGGATGGACAGAATCCTGCACCACCTGGGAAACACTGCAAGAATAATTCCCCCGTAAATACCAACAAACAATGGTTTCCTATGGTTTCAAAGTGGTGCGAACGGATTTCGTCCATGCACAGAATTAAAATCCAACTGGGCATGAAAAGCTCAACACGGAGACGTGCTGTTGTAAAGTAAAGCGGGTCCACCCATATTTGGAGACAAGCCCAACTCCGATCCCTCCGGAGTCCGAAGCGAATCCAACTATAAGAGCAATTCTAAGTAGAACACTCGTGGGAATCGTAAAACCAAGCTTAGTCAATCGTAACTTTCATATAAGTGATATGACCAACTATCAATGATACTAGATAGGGGTATACTATTGTGCTATTTGTGAGGGGAGCTCCAAAACAGGGGGTCCTTTTGGCTTCCTTTTAACCCCAACCCAGAAAGATGGTACCCTCAAAGAAAGACACACCCAATGATTTTGAATTTCCTTCCCTTTGCTTCAGGTTCCTGGCAAGTTCAATACAGTAGTGATAGATTCCCTTTAAAACCCGCAAAGGACCACTGATATGTATATATATATATATATATATTATCTGATTCATTTAAGCAATGGAAGCGATTAAGGTCAGACCATGTTCCTTGGGGACCCCGTGAAGGTTTCATGTGATTGGGAGGGTAGAAACTCTACCACGACTAAATATGGAAAACCCCAAAAAAGGAAACCCAACAGGGTCATTTCAGGTCGATTCGCTGTGGGCAACGGAGTTTTGGAACCCCCTAAAAAACTAAAACCCTATGAACCCATAAACCCGCTAAAAAAACAACTACTTATAACCCCCAATCTGCGCACGTCGAAGGCCCCGAAAAAAGAAATCGCCCAGCGGCAGATCCACGTTCATGTGCACGTCGAAGGCTTTGGGCCCCGCGGCCTCACAGCCGAAGGGCCACGCCCCGGCGTCGCAGACCTGAGGCTCTGAGGCTCGGCTCGGGTGGCCAGGGGGCCCAAAATTCTGGGGAGCTTCGCCATTCTTTTTCCAGACATATTTCCAGGGCAATATTCCAGTTGCAAAATATGTGTCATTATTTTTGGTTTTACAGGGAATCTTTCACTACTGGAAATCTTCTCATTTTTGTCCAGGGGGCTTAGGACCCAAATGGGGCAAACTTTGCTTTAAGAGGCTCAGGAAGCGATAGGTTCAAAAAGGTGACACATGCAACTCTAGAAGTACCTTCCATTTCCATTCTTTCCAGGGATCCGAATCTTTCTAGAAAACCACCAACCACCCTGGGGAAATGGCTGGTTTTTGAAAAGAACGATGGCTGAAAAGAATGGAATTGGAATCACACGCTAGGAAAATGGCAAGGTCTTGCT